ACTGTATACACCACCCAGTTTATGCACTGAACACAAGCTTTCATTTTGTACACCAGAGTCTGTACTGAAGGTAAGTGAAAATTTATTCATAAGCACAGTTTATATTATGTAAAAATATTATAATATAAATAAAACTCAAAGAAAAAGTATTACAAATATACAATTTAATTATTTTCCTTTATAATTTTATTTTTGACACTCAATGTTCATTCGCCATTGACGTCAATTGAGCGATTATTTCGGTGAGTGACATTCTATCCTTTGGGTCGGGTTGGGTGGCTTTTGTATATAAGGCAAAAAGTAATTTTTCTTGGGCTGGGTTGAACCCCTTAAACTTCCTTAAAACCTGATGTATAATATGCCCAAAGGAGAAGACGTCAGAGAGGCTTGTTACCTCTTCACCCCGCTTCACTTCTGGGGCGACCCAATAGATTCTGGCCTATTCCGCAGGCTTAAACGGCTTACAAAATTCGCCGAGTTGCGAGCTATTCCCGAAGTCAATTATATGTAGTTCGACCCCACCATCTGGCTGTTTGGTGACGGTGATGTTGTCACATTTCAAATCATTATGCGACAAGTTTTTCTAGTGTATTTCTAAAATCCTCTCGGCAATTTTTGCCAGGGTGCAGACAATTTTTTCTTTTGGACAATTTAATAAGTATTCCCCATATTCTTTTCCGACGTTCGACTAGATAAGTGTGTTGTTGGGATTGGTGGAAACGCAATGCAAAATGGGGGCACCTCCAGCTCCGTTCAAGTGAGAGAGGATCTATATTTCCTTCATAAAAGCATTCAAATTATTGTGTTTGAGGATTTTCATAACCCTGCATTCACCTTCATGCTAGATCAGCTTTACCAAACCGTTCGCCCCCTCGCCAATTGTCGACATTTGATGGACATTGTCCAAATTTTCAATCACTCTTATGTGTTTCCACACCATCTGCTGAGTTTGGGTATTATTATTTTTGTCAACTCCTTGATGCCCTACCAGACCGGCTGTTTGTACTGCATCATCTTTAGCCCTGGGCTGTTGTCCTTGACACTTAACCGGAGCAGCTGTTTGGCGGGTCTTGTTGAAACGCTTCATGCACAAGTTAAAGACATTTTTTATTGCCTCATCTTCAGCCTGCTGCCGAGCTTCTTGACGCTCGACCTGAGCGGCTATGTGGTGGGTCTCAATGAGACGATTCCTACGCTCATCAAAAATGATTTTCACAGCATCCTCATCTTCAGCCCGGTGCCGAGTTCTTTTACTCTCGATCGGAGTGACTTTCTCGGGGCCCGCAGTTTTGACACCCTGGTCTTCAGCCCGGGGTTGTTGTCCTTGACACTCAACCGGAGCGGCAGTTTGGCGGGTCTTGTTGAAACGCTTCATGCACAAGTTAAAGACATTTTTTATTGCCTCATCTTCAGCCTGCTGCCGAGCTTCTTGACGCTCGACCGGAGCGGCTATGTGGTGGGTCTCAATGAGACGATTCCTACGCTCATCAAAAATGATTTTCACAGCATCCTCATCTTCAGCCCGGTGCTGAGTTCTTTTACTCTCGATCGGTGTGGCTTTCTCGGGGTCCGCAGTTTTGACATCCTGGTCTTCAGCCCCGGGTTGTTGTCCTTGACACTCAACCGGAGCGGCGGTTTGGCGGGTCTTGTTGAAACGCTTCATGCACAAGTTAAAGACATTTTTTATTGCCTCATCTTCAGCCTGCTGCCGAGCTTCTTGACGCTCGACCGGAGCGGCTATGTGGTGGGTCTCAATGAGACGATTCCTACGCTCATCAAAAATGATTTTCACAGCATCCTCATCTTCAGCCCGGTGCTGAGTTCTTTTACTCTCGATCGGTGTGGCTTTCTCGGGGTCCGCAGTTTTGACATCCTGGTCTTCAGCCCCGGGTTGTTGTCCTTGACACTCAACCGGAGCGGCGGTTTGGCGGGTCTTGTTGAAACGCTTCATGCACAAGTTAAAGACATTTTTTATTGCCTCATCTTCAGCCTGCTGCCGAGCCTCTTGATACTCGATCAATAAGCGGTGGTGGATCGCATCGAGACGATTCCTACGTTCATCAAAAATTTTTTTTACTGCCTCAATTTCAGCCTGCTGCTCGATCAGAGCGACTGCTTGGCGGGTCTCAACAGTTCTTTCAAATCGGTTCATATTTATATTTTTGGATACTATTGTTTGATTTTCTTTAGATGACCATTACATTATTTGTCATCACCTTATTTGTAAATGGGTTGGAATTGTTGTGGGTGAGGTTGGTGTTATGATGATTGATGATGGTAATGTTGTTGTGTTGTTAATGTTAGTGGTGAGGCTGATGGTAGTGATGATGATGATGATGACAGTGACAAAATTGATGATGGTAGTGATGATACTAATGTTGGGGATGGGAGTGATGATGATGGTAGTGATGATGTTGATGGTAGTGATGATACTAATGTTGGGGATGGTAGTTATGTTGTTTATGGTAGTGATGATGATGATCGTAGTGATGATGACAGTGACGAAATTGATGATGGTAGTGATGATACTAATGTTGGGGATGGGAGTGATGATGATGATGACAGTGACGAAATTGATGATGGTAGTGATGATACTAATGTTGGGGATGGGAGTGATGTTGATGGTAGTGATGATACTAATGTTGGGGATGGTAGTTATGTTGTTTATGGTAGTGATGATGTTGATGGTAGTGATGATGATGATCGTAGTGATGATGACAGTGACGAAATTGATGATGGTAGTGATGATACTAATGTTGGGGATGGGAGTGATGATGATGGTAGTGATGATGTTGATGGTAGTGATGATACTAATGTTGGGGATGGTAGTTATGTTGTTTATGGTAGTGATGATGTTGATGGTAGTGATGATGATGATCGTAGTGATGATGACAGTGACAAAATTGATGATGGTAGTGATGATACTAATGTTGGGGATGGGAGTGATGATGATGGTAGTGATGATGTTGATGGTAGTGATGATACTAATGTTGGGGATGGTAGTTATGATGTTGATGCGTGGTGATGATGATACGATGGCTGGTGTGAGGTGATGATGATGGTAGTGATGATACTAATGTTGGGGATGGTAGTGATGATGATGGTAGTGATGTTGATGGTAGTGATGATGATGATGACAGTGACGAAATTGATGATGGTAGTGATGATACTAATGTTGGGGATGGTAGTGATGATGTTGATGGTAGTGATGTTGATGGTAGTGATGATGATGATGACAGTGACGAAATTGATGATGGTAGTGATGATACTAATGTTGGGGATGGTAGTGATGATGTTGATGGTAGTGATGTTGATGGTAGTGATGATGATGATGACAGTGACGAAATTGATGATGGTAGTGATGATACTAATGTTGGGGATGGTAGTGATGATGTTGATGGTAGTGATGATGATGTTTATGGTAGTGATGATGTGGTAGTGATGTGGCAACGATTCGTCACGTGTGGCGGCATGTGTTGCAAGATATCCCAGGTGGGAGGCAGAGGCAACCTGTGGCTGGTGAAGCTCAGTCTGTTGCAGTGGACCTTGCAAGAGAGGCTGCACAGAGTGTTACAGCTACAGGCTTCTCTGAGACAACCAACGACGACATCATGGAGGTAATCAGGGAACCTGAGGTGACTGCAGACGAGATGTTGGAAGATGATGATGTCAGTGAGGAGGCAGGTGGTGCGGCAGCACGAGAACAGAAGTTAACACATGGTGATGTAAAGGATGCCATCGAGTTTGCTGAGAAACTCAAGCTGACCCTTTCCAAAGACCATGTCAATCACTGATATGAAGTCTCCAATAACCATCTAGACCAAACTATGGAGCCGTATATCAAGATGTATCGTGACCACATCAACGCTAGCCGTCAGCGTAACATCACCGACTTCTTCACCCGCAACCCACCACAACCACAGCCAGCCCAAGTCAGCGATAGTGACTTTGAGGGGTTTGTCAGGGATGCCCTGACATCTGTGGTGGATAGTGATAGTGATTCATTTGAGGGCCACTAATATGCCCTCTGCCTCGGAACCAGCCTCCATCCCCGTGTGCCCAGCCATCTCTTCTACTAACGTAAGTGTTAAACCTTGATTTTTTTTTTACCTGGTACAGTATATTATTCTCTTATTGATATTTCTCTTCTATATTATGTGTGTGTGCATACCATCATAAAATTAAAATACTATTTTTACTACAACGTACGTATTGTGTCGGAAAAAGTGGAGTTTGGGGGTCGGCCCAGTCTCTATTTCAATTAATCCCAAATGTTCTGTTATTTCGTTTACGCGTTTCTCGTTTTACGCGGACCTCCACGGGTTCAATTGACCGCGTAAATCAAGACTATGTTGTACTTATTCGTTTTATATAGATAAGATGATATTTCTTGTTTGAACTTGTTTTTAGATGAACATTATTTGTCATCACTTTATTTGTCATCTGGTCTGATTTCTTGTGGATGAGGTTGGATGTTACAGCGATAGTGATGATTTGATAACATCCAAAATGATGAAGATATTGATGATAGTGATGATATTAATGTTGTTGGTGATGGTAGTGATGATTTTGATGGTAGTGATTATGATGACAGTGACGAGATTGATAATATTGATTTGCAAGATGGTAGTGATGTTGATAATGATGATGATTGTAGTTTACACAATGTAGACCACTCAGTTAACTTAATGTACACCACTCAATTTAAACATTGTACACCACTCAATTTACACATTGTACACCACTCAGTTTACACATTGTACACCACTCAGTTTACACATTGTACACCACTCAGTTTACGCATTGTACACCACTCAGTTTACACATTGTACACCACTCAATTTAAACATTGTACACCACCCAATTTACACATTGTACACCACCCAATTTACACATTGTACACCAGCTTCCACAATACTGTACAGTGACCCCTCGTTTAACGAAATTTCGGTTAACGAACTGCCTTCCATAAGGATCTTCAATTCGGTTAACGAACAAAAATTCGGTTAACGAATTTCTTACGAACCGACCTCAACATGTTTTCGCTTGCACTGGCCGGGCAACCAGCTTAAGTATCAGTCCGCCAATACATTAATCGGTTCTAGGGCTTAAATTCCTAACTATTTTAGTAAATATCAAGAAGTTTATACTATTCAATAATTTTAAAAGTTTAATATTCAATTTTTTAGTCATTTTAACAATTATTGAACATAATTGAAGGTAAAGTGACTAGTTTAAAGCGCAGCATCCAGCCTCTTAACACAGCAAACAGGCGTTAGTCTCTCTGTTTTCACTGGAGGTAACATCTTGCTTGAGACTCTTCAACTAAACGCTTTTTTCTGTGTTTCCAAGCAAATTATTGGTCATTTTGAAATATATTTTACATATTGACAATATATAATGCAGTACAGTGTTGATTTAAAGAAAATAATCTTGAAATACACCAAGAGAACTAAAAGTTTATGGGTGAAATGGTGCCATGGGGTGACTTCTCTTCCACCCCAATGCCTTTTCTTCCTTCTCCTCCACCCCCATTGTAATTCCCATCATCATCATCCAGGAGCCTTCTACATACACACCTCAAAGTAAGTGAACTTTTCTACCATTTTTGTTGAATTTAGGAAATTTTTGGTGAGCTGGAACCAATTACCCAAAAACCCATTGAAACAATGGTTTCGGTTAACGAACTTTTCGGTTAACGAACGACCTTCTGGAATGGATTGAGTTCGTTAACCGAGGGATCAATGTGTGTGTGTGTGTATATATATATATATATATATATATATATATATATATATATATATATATATATATATATATATATATATATATATACACACACCTAAACCCCGACTTACGACGGGGTTAGGGACCCAAATCCAGGTCGTAAGTCCGATATGGTCGTAAGTCCGATATAGATAAAAAAAAATCTACAATGAAATACAGTACAGTAAAAGTAATAAATAATGATGAATGGATACAGTACAGTGAAAGTAATAAATAATAAGGAATGGATACAGTGTGACTGAGCACTTAACCTTTAATGTAGTCAGCTGAATGCACATGGGGCCCCCATAATTTTCTAATTATACATGGAGACTACATTAACTGGAAACTTTTCGGTATAGAAAATGCATGGCGTCATTTTAAAATTTTTTTTTTTTTTTTTTTTTTTTTTTTTTTTTATCTATATCTGAGGCGGTCGTAAGTCCCGACGGTCGTAAGTCCACGTAGTCGTAAGTCGGGGTCTAGGTGTATATATATACACAGTTGTACCCCACTTAACGCGGTCAATTGAACCCAGAGGGTCCCGCGTTAAGTGAACAACAGAACATATGGGATTAATTCCAATAGAAACCGGCCCGACCCCCAAACTCCACTTTTTGAAGGCACATACCGATGTTGTAGTAAAAAAAACATCTTAATTTTATGATGGTACATGCACACAATTAATACTTAAGAGAAATAGAGAAATACAGTCGCCAAGTTAATGTCCATTCAAATAATGGACTCAACTCCCTCCCCCTCTCACACTACACAGCCGGCTAACAGATGGTCGGTCGGTCCCTCCCTCCCCCCCCCACCCCCCACCAACCTTCCCAAGGAGATGTGTGGGATAACCTCAAACTAAAGTTAGGAAAATATAATTGACATTGCTGGATTCCTTGTAAGACCAGGAATATTTTGAATATAAATGTCATATATTTTGGACAAAAGATAACATAGTTACCTAGAGAAAAATTTTTATCCAAAAATTGTAAGTTTAAAGCAAAATATATGATGTTTATATTCAAAATGATCACCAAATTATAAGAATTCCAGCAATGTAAATTATATTCTGACCGGGTAATTTGTATGAATTTTATGAGCTAAAACAAATATCTTAAGTTAATAAAAAAAAATAATAATTCTTCACAGGGTAACAGATGGTCGGTTGGTCCCTCCCTCCCCCCCACCACCCACCAACCGTCCCAAGGAGATGTGTGGGATAACCACTAAATTTTAATAAATAATAACTCAAACTAAAGTTAGGATAATATAATTGACATTGCTGGATTCCTTGTAAGACCAGGAATATTTTGAATATAAATGTCATATATTTTGCACAAAAGATACCATAGTTACCTAGAGAAAATTTTTTATCTAAAAATT